AGCTGTTTCTCCAGAACATTACTAGTTAACCCAGAGAATTCCAATTGACTCTAAATACGTCATTAATTTCCATTTCACTACACTACTTATATCATCACAGCAAAGCCTAAATTGTTATGAAGTACTTATTTCAATGTGAAGGACGGACCTGATTCCGAAAAAGAATTAATTGAGGCAGTTCACCAACATAATATGCTTTGTTATTACCAGCCTTTCGTGCTTTCACATCATTAACCAAAACAAATTAGTTGGCTCTGTTTTACCACAAAATATTTCATTTTCACTCTTCACAAGAGTTAATGCTGACTTCAGTTATCACTCATGCTCACACCACTGTTGTTCTTCCGATTTAAAATACATTACTGCGTTCTATTACCATAACATTTTATTTTATAAATAACGTCTTCGCCTGGCGACCGCAGGAGCGACGCCGATCAGTTTAGCATCGCCTTTCATTTGTTATCCGCGATCCATGGGCTGACGAGAGGTCGGCGAGTATTCGTAGCCAGCAGTGCGCTGTCAATAGCACGTTACATTAGCGACTACGGTTGCTGAAAATTGGCGTTGGTACCGGATGATACGACTCTCCGATTTCACGCTTGTAGCGTGAATTGGCCTGCCTTGTAGTAATAGTCTCCGATTTTCAGCAACAAACACTCTTGGCGGTCAGCTGCGAACAGAAAATGAACAATTGAAGTCTGAACTGAGTAAACTTTCTGCTAAAATCAATAACATAGAGCAAACAAACAGGCTTAGAAATGTAGAAATATCAGGTGTCACCGAGCAAACCGTACTTGGTGAAATTGCACCAGTTACTGATTTAAAATCGAGAAAGTAGCCTCATAACTGTGTCCTCATTTCTGATAATGACCGTATTGTCCTTTGGCCCACCAGACGTCAGAGAGATGAGACAGCATCAGCGTGCTCAAAATTCGTATTCTTTCCAGGCAAGCTTCAATAATTGATTACTCTTTTATTTAATGAATATTCATCATCAAATAATAAAGTGAGTTATTGCGAGGTTGTCACTAGCTTGTGGACATGCACGGAAGCAGGATGTTCGAGATATACATGTGTCGTGATGTTGGCAATTTTAAATTTGTTTGACAAATTTAAATAGTTTCCAACAGGCTAACATCTGACACATGTATAATCTTCGAACGGTCGTCCTTGCGCAGGAATATCTTTCCGTTACGTGTCCACACAAATTTAAATTGCTTCTGTTTGGCAAATTCTCGAGCCTCCTTAAATATCACTTTATTGACATTGTTAGGTGTTCATTTAAATAAAAGGGAGTTGACATTCCATCCAATATTAGTGGCTTACTGGAAGAATTACGAATTTTTAATTTTGCTGATGCTATAATATCATCTCTCTGACGTCTAGTGTTCAAAGTAAGGACAATATTCTTTGGTCGTTTATCAGAATTATTTGTTGGGACACGAGTTATAGATTCAATTGTACTTTCATCGATTTTAAAATCAATGGCATTGCCATTGGTTTGAACAATTTTCACCAAGTTTTCTTTGGTTTGCTCGGTGACACCTGATATTTCTACATTTCTAAGCCTGTTTGTTTGCTCTATGTTATTGATTTTAGCAGAAAGTTTACTCAGTTCAGACTTCAATTGTTCATTTTCTGTTCGCAATTGATTTGTAAGCTTTACATAATCAGAGTGTTTATTGATAGACCCTTCAAAATCGGAGACCTTATTACTACAAAAGGTAACAGATTCGCGAAGAAGTTTCAATTCCTCATATACAATGCGTAAATTCGGAGAGTCCTCATTATCAATCCGAGTACTAGCCATAGTACCAGCAGCCAGTGAGGTCCGCCCCAAGTGTAACGATGCTTCCCCGTGGCTAGTGCTGTCACGGGATGGCGTAAAAAATCCTAATGTGAATTTTTCCTACTGCGCGAGATTTCTAATTCTCGCCCGACCTACTCGGTTCGGCCGTCATCGGCATGGATCTAAATCCTTGAGATGTAAATTATACATAAAATGAAGGAAAAAAACGTGCTAAATTTGTCAACGTCGCTCCTCGCAGTCGCTATCGAGAGTTGAGACTCGAAAAGTTAGAGGCTGGCCAGGTGCTCCATACGTTAAGTTAGAAAGTGATATAAAAATAAAATGTTATAATTATGCAGACGCATTGAGTATTGATAATATTTTTAATCGGAAACAAGAAATAATAATTAGTGGTGTGGTATGGGCGATTAACTGGAAATTAAATTAAACATTTTTATATAACTGATAACTCTTGTGAGGAAGGGTGAAGGGAAAAGAGACAGATGAAGCAGAAAAACAAACTAATTTTATTGGAAATTAAAACAAAATTGTAATTTTGACAGTTAATGTTTTTTTTAGAACATTAGAACGTCATAGCACAAGCATCACGAAAGAGAAGCAGGAAACATACAAAGGTAAATATATTTTAAAAACATATTATGTGCAGTGACTTTTTAACATAATTAATTCTTTTCAGAATCAAGGTCCGTCATATACACAGCAAAATTTAAATAGTTATATATGTTTAGAGCTTTCAAAATTAAAGATATATGATGTCATGAGAGTGTGTATTATTGGTTGCCTATGGTATAATTAAATAAATAAGAGCTGAGAATTCTAATAATGGCAATAATCCCTAGAGTCAATTTAAAGGTTAACTATTCTCTGGGTTAACTGAAAAAAAATTAAATGTTCTGGAGTCAAAGAGTATTTTATTTATAAAATTACCCAGAACATCACAATTAAATAATTTTGTATTTTAATTTAGAGACTCGTAGGAACGAGCTATTTTGAGTCTATTGAAGAAGTTTAAGGTACTAGAAAAAAACATTTTCCCCCGACTCAACCTTTTTACCACCCCTTAAATGATATTGCAATTCAATTTTAAGACCTTAATAAATAAAAATTTTTTCAAAATATTTCGAATTTATTCATGAACTTTAAGTCGGTCAAAATAAAACATGGAAGTTGGTATTATATGAAATGGTTTATTATAAAATATAAATTTATGATAAAATAAAATAAATCAAACTGTAGTCCCTCTGGTATTCTAGTGACTGCGAACTGCGGGTTTCTGGTGAAAAACTGCTACTTAAGGTGAGCGTAGGTATACCTACACCTACCTATAAACAAAAAAATGTATGAGTAATGAATTTAACAACACCGTCAAACTAAAGATTGGGTAAAATACATTACATATTATTATTTAAAACAATATCTACCCAAAGTGAATATAATTTAAAATGTGAATAATCTTATTTTAATTATTAAGTCTAGGAAAGAAATGTGTCTTTTCCATTTTAAAAAAGGTACATACCAAGTACATACCTTTTTTCTATTTTCTATTGTAACTATGGTAACTAACTAGACACCATTTTGCCACCGTTGCTGCTCGAACTACTAGAAATCACCTTCTTGGCAATAATCTGTAAAAATATATAGATAAAAATTTACGTTACACATTATTCATTACGAATTAAAATTATAATTCATTTTAAATTATTTGGGAGCCAACTACTATCTAAACTATAACACCGAGACAGAGACCGAAGTACTTATTTTTACTTACCGCTAATATATTCCACTATTATTATTTTCACATCTATATCTTCATATAATTGCGGATCCAATCGGAGTTGGATTATCCAGCTGCCAGTACTTGTTCTCCACTTTGAGAGGATCTGAAAGTATTTTATCACAAATTAATTAATTACCTTGCACTTAAATACATGCTAATCAAGTTATAAGTAAACCGAAACATTATGGATACTGAATATTTTGTTTTTTTAATACATAACTACAAAAGATAAGCACAAATGAAATTTCCTACCTTCTGGCTTCCTTTTTAAATAATCCTTCCATTTAACAATAATTCACTCTGTCTGATATACTTACGAAAATATGAGAATACTGGCAACAGTGTTTTTTACTTTCCGAAGACGTTCGGACGCAATCGTAATATTAGGAAAAAGTAGAATTAGGAAATTCTTGGCCCTCCCGCTGTCACCAGATCGGTCACCCGATCGGCAATCTTCCCAAATCCATGTAGCCCCGGGTACACTTCGAAACACATTGGCCTGATCTCAGCCCAAACCGGAACATTGCTTATTGGTATGATATATATGACCTATAGATAGCAATATATATTAGATAAAATAACCTTATCCGTCAGATATCTTATGAACTGCCAAATAACGCTTTATTTGTCGGATAAAAATTTGACGCATAAGCAAAGGCATGAGGAGATATTGATTTTATTTGACAAAATTGCTTAACATAACCTAAGACATTGTTACTATTGAAGATTTCGTTTATTCCAATAAATTCGATTTTAGATTATTTGGAAAAGACTTACCTATCTGAGTATGTAGACTATAACCATTTTAGAACGTATGGTGTATAAACACCAATAAACACATTGAAATGGTGCAAAAAACTATTGTTGCTAGTGCTGGACTTTATAAGGAGTGTTACAAAATAAAGAGAGCCTCTGTTAGAGCATCAAAACGAAGAGAATGCATTAAGTCAGGATAATAGTGATAAGACAGCAATTTATAAATTATTTTATTTAAATCCTTTCAATTATAAACCATTACGTATTTAATAAAGCTCTAAAGTAGGTAAAAAATAAATAAAACTTTTTAAATCAAACTATTTATTTCATTTATAATTCGCATATCTTAATTCATTAATATTATAACAGGAACCTTATAAAACCTGTTATTCAACTCACATTTGCTTTTATTTCTTTGGTGTTACAATTTTAGTTTAATTTCTTGCACTATGTACCTTATACCGTATGATCGAAAAAAAAACGGCGTCCAGTTGGCTGGGAAATGACGATCGATAACATTTCCCATATAAATTTACATATGAAATGACAGCAATCTTCATTTCATAGCCATCGCTGACGCCGTTTTTTTTTTCGATCATACGGTACATCTTTTCTGCATGCGGTTTTTTAAGTAACTCTCTAGCTAAACCTTGCCGCCACACCTGTGTTGTGGTCCTTTGATTTTTCCTTTTTATTTTGTGAAGTTCCATCATTTTGAGTTCTTAAAAATAAAAGTAATATGACACAATTGCTTTTATTTAAATTTTTTTATTAAATAATTTGTACATAATACGTACAAATGTTACAACAAGTAATTGTTACATTTACACATTATATTATAATGTGTAAATGTAACAATAATAATATAATTGTTATAGGGACTATTTATTTATTATTATTAAGACAAAAGTATAAGTAGGGGCGGATACAGGAATTTATTTTAGGGGGGGCCAAATAAAAAATAATGTAGAATATGCTTTTTAGAGCGCTATTTTTAACCCAAAAGCCTAATATTTAACCCAATCTATGGATTTTAGGGGGGGCCCGGGCCCCATGGGCACCCCCTCTGTATCCGCCCCTGAGTATAGGTGCATTGATCTATTTTATAAAATAAAAACTCACCTTAATTACTATCATCGATGCTGTCCTACCTATTTCTTTACTATGAGAAGCCCTAGAACAATAACATATTTGTTATTACTAACAGTCTAGTTAAGTTATATATAGTTATGCTATCTAATAGTTATGCTATTTTTAATTTTCAATATTAATAACTTACCAGATGATGGTTTTAGGGTTTGTTTATAAATCTCTGCTTGCACTTCACCAGCTTCTTTCTTCAATCTTCTTATCAATTGTACTAGAATTTTAATATAATAAAATAAAATAACAGTAGTATCATGTAATTAAATTATAAATTACTTACAGATTATATTTTCTTGTTTTAATTTCTTATAAATCGTATTCCATCAATAGATCTATTTCACCACTGCTGAAATTGAATTATCTTTCCCTTTTTCCATAAATGTAAATTTAAATAGCCTATACTATAATAGAACTAGTTGGAGTTAAACACAAAATATATTTTATTTAGTTGAATTTTACTGTTTTTTGTTAGATAAAAGTTATTTATTTATAACTGAAGACACGGGGCCTAGAGTATTTACTTACGCCTTTGTTACGTATTTGTTTTTAGGATTTGCTACAATAATTTTATTATAGTGATTTTACCATTGAGTGTATTAATTATGTTCATGTAATATAATTTTGATAATACATATTTAATTTTTTGTTCTGTTAATATGTAACAATTTACAGGAGTGTGAAACAAATGACGTCTTGCTATATCTGTCAGATATATTATAAATTTACTGTCGAAGTAGTGAAAACAATTTTGAAAAATCATAAATATTGATGCTTTTTAATTCAATGTATTATTTCATTGTATAAAATACTATGGATTATTTTATAATTTTAATATACAGGTAGTCAAAAAATAGTGTATATCTTACTTTGGTAGGTGACTATACACATGAAAATAAAACAAAAAGTTCCTATGAACATATGCCCTAAAATTCTTCCCGAAGAAATTACAGCCCTCGAAAAGTTAAATAATAATAATATAATTTTGTTTATTTTTAAGAACATTGGTAAACCGATTTTCCTGAAATTTGTTACTCTTACACACATTTTAATGTCAAAGTAAATGGCGATTATGAAAAATTTTGCAACAGCCCTGAAAGGGTACTTTCCATTAGGGTAGGGAGTACTACTGGTGGTACTTCTTTTATTCTTATAGATATAGTAATTTCAACAAATGATATAAAAAGCTAGAACTTTTTTACGGAAGCCAGGTGCTCTTCGTTTAATTGTGAATTAACATTCTATATTTTAATATAATTTGTAGGGAAAAAGGTACTTTTATGTAGTATTTTGAATTATAAAAAATAGGATTTGCTATTATATA